TCTTAATCGCAAAGCATTTCTGGACTCGCATTTGCAGAGCTCCCTTACTGATACAAACGTCCTGACGGAGAACGCTCGTAAGCTTCTCCAGCAAGTCGCTGTATCCATTATTAGAGAGTATCTAGTTAGAAGCGAAAAAGCTTAATTACCATAAAAGAAGCAAAAGTATTATGACTGAAAGTCGTCTCAAGAAACACATAGAAATTTGTACCTGATGATGTTTAGAACATTTGGTGTAATCAGAATTATCAAAGAGCCACAAAAAATTGTATTACGCAGGCTGTGGAAATACGGAACGCACTACCGACAAATCGTGTCCAAGTAGTGAAGCGAACCGCTAACCTCCCGAATTAGCGTTGCGCCTGCTATGGCAGTCACGGCAGACCGTTCGTCAGACAGACAAAAAGATTCGCCTCTTGAAGTATGAGGGAATATCAGTTTCCAACATAGTTAGGATGTACGTCCCTGGTATACTAGGGCGCAGAACATCCGATGCAAATGGGAGAGCCAAGTGGACCGATTTAATCTCAGGGTACCCGTTTACCCGCTGCGTGAGTCATTCCCACGACTTCTTCAATAGGAATTGTTTATAGTCAAAAGACAGAAAAGCCTGAATGACCATTTGGGTTTCTACATTGTCTTTACTACAGGAACGTTAAATATAAGTCTATTTGATAAATACCAGCACCATAGCTCTTATTCTGTCTGATACAAAGGTCTATAGTTTGGTGGTCTTCAAGGAAAGATATACACGGTCTGCATGTGTGCCGGAGCCTATGCCCAAGCTGGACTAGCTAGTAAGAGAACAACCGGCTACCGATGAAGGTGGATCAAGAAAGACAAACTGGAAAGGTATCTTGCCTCTTTACGATTGTACGAGTCCTTGTATTTTAATATTCCTTTTGTTTTCAAGGACCACCCTCGACTGCAGACGATAAAGCATACTTAAAAGTTCCAGAATTCTAGATTTTTGCCCACGTGAAGCGATTATGATAGATTTGGGTGGCAGGCCCCCCTAAACCTAACAAACTGGGGCCGACTGAAAACATTTGTCCGTTCGAAAATATTTAAGCTAAGCAGAGTGACATTGCCGACAAAGACAAGGGGATTGCAATGGCCATTTATGGCTTATTAGCCGTCGGTAATGTTACACTGTCTATAGTACGCGCCGCTGTGCGGCTGCTGGTTGGGCTCGAGAGAGAGCCCCAAGACACAACGGGACGAGTGAGTTCCGTAACACGATCGGTGAGCGCCCATCTACCATAGTCAGTTTGGTCTCCCTTGTCTTTGTTGGTAGACCTTCTTGTTGACGACTTCCCTTGACCACGCATGCGCCTGTATGAGTACAGAGCATGGGTTGTAAGGTTCTATCGAGACGATTTCATTCCATCATGCTATAGAAGTAGATTTATACACACCGCTAGTTAAAAATTACTGTTTTCCCGAGCGCTTAAGTAAAAATAAGGATGCAGACATAGAGCCCTTTATCAACCTCTTTGTAGGTCTTTAGTAGAACCGAAGTGCTATCTCGAAGCACATCATGCAAAGGCTTGACCAGATCCAGCATGTGCTTAATTCCAATCAACTTAGAAAGCCTAATTTCAGCATCCTTTTCAATGAGACGGCTGCCGGCGGATGATGTGCTTGCGTCGCTCGGTGTCTTCCATCTATTGACAGAAAGATTTCCAGCTGTTCCGAGCTGTATCGTCTTTTGGACCTTAGAGCTGCCGCATCCATGGGTTGTTGCGGTTGCCTCGTTCGGCCGGATTTCAGAGGATGGAGTTAAAGTGATATCCATGTCAATGTCATCTCTGGCGCGGGTAGGAGTGTCTGCCGCACTAACAGTTGTCACCGAACTTTGTTGAGAAGAATGGGAGTCGGACAGTTTTACGCACATTGACAGCAAGCTATCAATAGGAGGCAGTTTTGAGAGGAGTGTCTGGATGAAAAAAGAAATAAAGGAAGTGAGTTCTTTCTCATAAAGCCGGAATGTTTGGACAAACGGAAACCTGTCAAAAACTGCCAATCCATTTCGAGTTTCTCATTTTCATATGCCCTTTTAGAACTGATTTTATTCTGAAAAAAGGGAAGCACACCTATCGGTGAGGCATAGGACTTTCGCTTAAATAGAGGATGAGTTGACAAGCCACTATAAGGTCTCAAGTACTAATTGCTCGAGAGCTTACATTACAACCTATCTGGTGTTTTCTGAAATGCCCTCGTCACATCGAATTCTAGGTAAATCCAAATGCTTATATAAACAAGTACTGAACGTCTTGGCGGTCGTCCCAATATTATCAGCGTTCCCCTACCTTAAAAACATGATACCGGCACAGCGCGATCACTGAAACGACCTTATTTGAGATCTAAATGCTCCAACGACACAATGAGGTCATATTCTGTAAGGGGCTGGGGCGTCTGCCGCGCAGACAGCACTAGAAATGCAGTAGCGTCTGTGTTTGCCAGTCTACGTTTATGTCTGAATGTTTCTCGGATGGGCCCAGAAAGAGGGCTTCCGTACTATCCACCTAAAATGACTGGCGTTGAGCGCAAAATCCTGCTGAGGTTATCCGTATGGGAAAAATGTTCGTAGTTATATATAGACCTGAACACAGGCACAGGTAGGGCATTTTAGGACTTATGGTGACTAGAACGCAAACTGATACACGCAGATGCTCTGTCCTCATATAGTTCTGGCTGCAATGGGGACTGGTGCCTGATGATGGGCGTCCGAATATTCCGGCAGGACCCACTATAAATCCTTCCCAAATTGGTCTCTCCCTTCTCAGATTCTAATTGCACAGAAGGAGTCATTTTGATATAGGGATTTAATAATGTGAAAGCCCATTATCGGAACATTTTGGACCTTCAGTTTCCCTTTTTTTAATGATTTCATTTAAAAACCAAAGAACATTATTCTGAGGTTTTTTTTATTCATGCCTGTCATTTTGGAAATCTAAGATGGTCATATGTTGCTCACAGATTAAACGATAGTGGAAACGTTGAGATCAACTAATAACATTACTAGATGTGGGCTTGTATAACGCGCCTTTATAAAGTAAACCTTGACTCTACCGGCCTGAACAGCAGGGCCTGACTAACTGCGTAACTTCCACCGTCGGGGAAAAAACTAAAGAGCATACCTGTGTTTCGAAAAGAAGTTGCGGTTTCGATACTAACTCGGCGACTGCGGCCTGGCGGGAAATGATGGTATTCAAGTCTGAAGCGAACATTTACAGAAAGTATGATAAAACACCTATAAAATTTAATTTAAATGCAGTAGGACAGGTTAGTTGGTAATGATGCAAATTAGTCCAGAGAACTAAAGAGCCAAAAATCGCAGAATTGATGAATGTACAGCACTTGCCAAAAGCACCATTATTTTACATAGGTGTTTATTTGACGCATGAATACGAAGTTTCCTTTCAGGATAACATGAAAGCTCTAACAAATACCGCTTCCACTAAAATTTTCAGGGGGCTGAAAATACATAAGCTTCTGAGAAACATGCTATGTTGAAAAAACATAATGCCAGAGTACATGAACTGGAAGTTAGTGCGTGTACATCCAGTAGTATGAATGGAAATCACCAATATTCGGCGTACAAAATACACATTATTTGTCGCCATGCTAGTTTAAGGTAGATATACGAATACCATAAGAAGAGACAATGTAAATCAAAAAACAATTTAACTTAGGAGGTGTCGGATAAATTGGCAAAAAATGGAAACAGATCAAGGGAAATAAGAGCGTATCAGAGGCGACTAAATAACATTTGAGTCTTCGTAACTTTACCATGGCCCAACAATTTTGTCGTCAGAAGTTTGAAAAGATCGACTTGTTCATTAGATGAATTATTCCCCCAACCGGCACACCCGAAATCAGATTTCCGAGTGATGACTTTTACGGTCAATTTGGATAATTGAGAACTTACTGAGAAGCACATTCCCCCTCAAGAAAATGGCGAAAAAGCAGTTAGTACTAAAGCAACTTTTTCTTGTGATAAGATGACTTTTATTTATTCTGTACTAAGAATTGGTCAAAGGCGTGTATAAAGACGTATCGAGTCCGTCAAAATAACGATTTCCATTTTGCTAGGTAATTATTGTAGTAGGATGGGTTTCGGGTTAGAAAAACTCTCTCCCCCCTTCATCTCATACTGCTACTGTTCGGATGACGCCACAGGATAAAAACAACCGAAGACAGACTTGGGCACAATGGCTGCTCAGTGGCTGCTGCCGTCTGTCCCATGCTACGGACAGCGACTTATTCGACACTTCGCTTATGTCGATAAATATAGGCTTCGTTTACTCCGAAGATTCACTGAAAATTGGATGATTTCGAAAAAAATAGAAATACATTTGCTCAGGAGACAGAAACAAATGACTGCACTTTAAAAGTAGGCATTCCCAAACAGACAAAACATCGTTAACAAGCAGCAAAACTGCGAATCAACAGTACTCTCAGAACTAGTCTGGAAAGTTTCATGATGACAACCTGAAGCTAAAAAATAATTATCCTCCCTGCGTTATACCATAAAAAGGATGGACGAAGAAAGATGAGACGTGGAATGAGGAACAGAAATATTTGGGTAAGAAGACTGGTCGTGCACCAGCACAATTTGTTTATTTTTCTGGAGTTTCTAACTCGTGTGGGGGTTTATCGTCAGAGATAAAAGCGACGGTTAAAGGGGGTTTTTGTCCATGAACGACCAGTGCCACAGGATTCGTATTGTAGGCGTCACGTCAATACATCGACTGAGTTCTCATCCGAGGTCCGGGCTTTAATAAATCCTAGGTCTGTCTTGCTTAAGATCTGAGCGAGTATCTTGGTGGCTGTGAAGTTACACTCGCGACCCTATTCGAAGGTGTGAGCAGCCATTTATGAAAATTCGTCAATTCGTCGTCCGGCCACCTTGTGTTCGCGTATGCGCGAACCAGAATGCGTTCAGTTTGGCATGTGAGATTAGGACAGTTAATACAAGTGATACGATACACAACAATCGACTGCTCACTACGACTTAGTTGGTCATTGATTTTTTATGACCTTGCTGCGCTTTGAATCCTTTGGCTGGTGTGCAATTCCAACACCTGGTCCCCCAACAATGTGCTCAATCGCCTCTGAAACGTCCTTTAAGTATGGCAGAATATAGCCATATCATAGGGTTTTCTGGTTGGGTCCGCCTGAGGCAAACATTTGGACATCGCCTTATGGACGCCTTTAGATGGTCTGGAAGATATTGGGCCCCACATGCCTTTCGTTCTGGGTTGCAGTGAGTCGGCACCCTTTGAAGTGTCCTTACACGGCCTCATTTGTAGGCCACTCGATGGCTGTTGTAAAGAACTAGGTGCCTCTTGTTCGCTGACTGTAAAATTCTGTCATAAAATAAAGCTTTTATTTTATCATTGCAGTCTTCCCGGTTCGTAACGACACGTTGCTCGTGGATTATCAGCGGACAGAATGATAATTTGTTTATCCCTCCTTTGTTCCTTCGTAGTCCTTGGCACACCCGGTGAAACAAATATTCACATAACCCACACCTCCCAAAGAAAGCAGAGAATAATAAGAACAAAAGATCCTACAAGGGGTAGTTACCATTGGGTGGCTCCAAAAGGGATGTCCGCAAGCGACGTGCACCGCTGGGCGTGCAAGTATGGTTAATGGCAGCGTAAAGGGACGTTTTATCGTGAAGCCGTTGTCTTGGACCAACGAGATTTAACCGCAAGGCAGTCGGTGCGTCTAAGTAAAACGGGGTTTCATATTGTGAGATGCATACATCACAAGGATAACAGCAAAATTCGAATGCACGTTCAGACTGCGCTTTCCTCGCAGGATCTCGGTCTCTTGCCCTGACATACATACCACAATACAAGTAGAAATTTCATAGGTAGTCTTAATGATCCGCCAACGCTTTCGCCTGTGGGCTGGATGGTTCTTATCTAGTTTTTCAGGCAGCCATTAATATTTCCCGGCCGATAAAGCAGAAACCGCAAAAAGCGGTTTTATAATTTAAGGCACTTTCCGTGTGCGTGGTTAACAAACGGAGCACCTATAAATACAGCCTGCCCATTAAGTGGCAATGTCCCGCAAGATTACGATTAGAATCTTTATTGAGATTTGCTGCGCTCGAATTACGTGCAGATATGAGAGCCCATTTTCTCCTCTTAAAGACGTGACTTCGAGTTTGACAGTTAATTTTGATGAAAATAGAAACATGATGCGGCGGC